GGCAGGGGTAGGCAACCTTGGCTCTTTTATGATTCGTGGACTTCAACTCCCAGAATTCCTGAGCCAGCATGGCTCAGCTTGAAAACCTCTCCCTTTCCCCTCAGCATGGTTGGCTCAGGAATTCTGGGAGTTGAAGTCCACGAGTCATAAAAGAGCCAAGGTTGCCTACCCCTGGGCTAAACATACCCAGTTCCTACCTTTTAGCCTCCAGACCCCTGATCATATTTACAACCCTTTTTTACAGGAAGTCCTTGACTTACAACAGTTCATTTAGTGACCGCTCAAAATTACAGGACTGAAAAAAGTGATGACCATTTGTCACCCTTACGACCGTTGCAACATTCCCATCGTCACGTGATCAAAATTCAGCCGCTTGACAACTGGCTCATATTTATGAAAGTCGCGGTGTCCTAGGGTTACGTGATCCCTTTTTGCGACCTTCTGACCAGCAAGGTCAGCGGGGAAGTCAGATTCACTTAACAACCAGGTTACCAACTTAACAATTGCAGTGATTCACTTAACAACTGTGACAAGAGAGGTCGTAAAATGGAGCAAAACCCGCTTAACAAATGTCTCAGCAACAGAAATTTTGGGCTCAGTTGTGGTTGTAAACGGAGGACTATCTGTACATTTTTCTAGCGCCTCAGCATCTTTTTTCTATCGTGGTGTAATTATCATCCTTGCTTCCTGATAATTTATCCACAAGGTAAATCCCAAACATAAATCATTTGTCCATCAGATGGCCTGCCCTCTGCTTATAAAGGCTCACCTTGACTCAGAGTTATTGATGAGACGGTTTACCAAAAGCCTTTTCTAAATACCCAACAAAAAAAAATCTGAAAGATCATCTTATCCGCCTGATTGCTGGTGCCCTCAAATACCTTTGAAATAATTGTCTTTGAGAAGAGTCACGTTGTTTTCTCCTTCAGCAAGATTGATCTTTCATTGTGTCTCAGATTTTTTCTCTCTGACCTAATCCTTTTCCTCAATTTCCTCAGGATTTATTTTTTCTACAAAAGCCGTGTTATATGGGCTATTTTCCACTCCTCGGATAGGAATAAGGACTCGCATTGACAGATTTGCTTGTTAGATCCATGATGCTTTCTGAACGTGGTGATTTTATAATAATAATAATAATAATAATAATAATAATAATAATAATAATAATAATAATAATAATAATAATAATAATAATAATAATAATAATAATAATAATAATAATAATAAAGTTGGAAGGGACCTTGGAGGTCATCTAGTCCAGTGGTTCTTAACCTTTTTGAATGAATCGCCCCCTTGAGCCAATGAGGAAGTTGTCATCGCCCCCCTCCCCCAACATAACCTCTCAATCACAACTTTGCAATACTGCAGACCTCTTAAAATGTGAAATGAATTTATATAAACTTTCATTTCTCTCCCCCAGAATAAAGTTAATAATTTTGTGGATGTGAG